GATGTGTGCTTCTCAACAAAACCCAGTTCTCTTGTATTTAGGTTCAATACGCCAATTACATATGAATCCAAACATGGGATAAATTGCCTCTGCATTCAGTTTCTTGGGGATCAGCACGAGTACAGTAAGATTAACAACTATTCAACTATTACATATCTGCAACGAAACAACATTCGACTACAGAGAAGAGGATCCGTAATTTTCAGTTACTTCTTGGCAAAAGTGATAGCGATGGCGTTTTGAGGGGTGACCTTGAAGCCTTGAAGGGCCTGCATGGCGACCGATGACTGAATGTCATCTTCATACTCTACAAAGGCAATGCCTGGCTTCGCATCAATCATCCTGACTTCCCTAAACCCTGCAAACTGTTTGAAGAGCAATTCCAGCATATCACTAGTAGTTTCGTGAGGCAAATTCTCAACGAACAGGATATTGTTTGGAGCTGCAGCTTCCTGTGCATTCGAGTTACCATGGCGGGACGGGGCCTGTATATGCAGAGAATTAAAATAAATCCACCATTCAGTGTGGTAGTTGACAAAGAAGTGGATCAAATTGCATTGCACAAGAAGTGCATCAAATAGCATCGCACAACTGTGTTCATATCGGAAACACTTACCGTCCTGCCTCCGTTTTCAGCAGCTGCACCATTTTCGGTTGCATATTGTTGCCCTTCATCACCTCGCCGCTTTCTTTCAGCTGAATCAACAGATTTATTTCAAAACATAAAACACATGGTATTAAACAATCTAATTTGAGCAAGCATTTTTTTCTATATAAACCGAAAGTTGATTTTCTGTATGAGCCACCTTGTAATTATAGCAACCTAGATAGACCTTACTATATACTTAAGAAAAAGGGGCAAATCAAATGTTATCTTAATTTCCCCAAGTCAAGGGAAAAATGAATGCTTTGAATAATGCAGTGATGTTCCTGCACCTAGAGGCCAGAGAAACCCAAATGAGTCAAATGCATTCTATCAAAATTTTCTAGACATGCGGCCAAACAAAGTAAGGCAGCACTTTAATACCCAGAATGAATCTCAAACTATCACAACAATACTACTTTTTCTTACTATTAGTACGCACATACCCAGTAGGTTCTAGCGGTTCAAGTGGAAGCAATGTCATATGCCCTAATGGTTCAATTGGAAACATAGTGTTCTGAAGATCTTCAGGAACATATAAGGCCAGTTATTTGGTTCATTGTGATCCTTACATTCATATGCTATAACGATGGTTAATGCATATCATTACTAGTTTTAACAAAAGTTATGAAATATTTTATACAAACTTCAAGGTTATTCATAACTTCAAAGAAAGTTTCAGTCACCTTTGTCTTCCTGCTTCCTTTTCTTTTCTTTTGGAGCTAAGGTTCCTTCTGCTTCAGCAATGCAATCTGACTTTGTTTTGGCGTATTGAATCCGCTGCACCAAATAAATTGTGCTCATATTAACATTTTAAACTAAGAAAAGTTAGTGGATGTGAATATCACAATAGTGTAATCAAACACCTTCATTTGAGAAAAAACAAAGGAACAGAGTGCATGTAACATTTAAAGTGAACACACTGTTGTTCCGTAAATAGGTTATTTACTTTCAAAACAAACTTTCAGGTACCAATAACTTCATCTTTCAATATATGCAATGCCAGATACGGTCTTCAACCACAAGCTTAAAGCAAAATCATCCTCAACGATGAACATGCATACATTTAGAGCTAAATTTTGAGAAAATAAGGAAGAACATAGTATAGGCAGGAAAGCTTAACATGGTTGCAGAATTTGGATAAGTAACAAGCATGTCCAACATATATGCAATACGCTACCAACTGGGCTTATTCAATTTTAGACTCACTCACCATGGGTTTATCATAAAACGGAAAGTTTTGCATCTGCCGCACAGCATTACTAGCAGAAGCTACTTCTAGAAATGCAACCCATGCTTGCCCCCGAAGCCTGGGTGTCTTCAAGGCAACAACATCCAAAATCCTGCCATATTGAGAGAATAAGCAATAGAGGGACCTCTTCAATTCTGCAAAGTAAAAAGAATGCCACTATTAACTGACAAAAATAAAATATACGAAAGCTTATCCCCAAAAGTAGTAAAAAAAAACATCCTTTCATGCTAGACATTTCAAAATTCGGATGCAAAACACCAAAGCAAGATGTGAGACCAATATAGATAACAAAATTGTGATTACTCTCTTGCCTACATAACGTCGCTTTCTCAATTTATGATCCATAAAAGCCCCCCAGTGAACCAGAATCATTTTACAAACACAAAATTGTCTAGTGCTGCATCTTGGTTTGGCGGATTCAGAAGATGAAATTGTGAATTAATTCTTCATATAAACTATCTAATGAGACTCTACAAGTAATAAACTTGATTAAATGAAATTGAAAATCTTCAAATCCCTTAAGAATTAAATATACCATGTAATTCAAATGGTTAAATCTAAACCCCTCCTTTTACACTCATCAATCAAATTCAACCCGAGTAAATTTAAGCATGCAATTCAATCTGCAACCAATTTCTCAATCACCAACTATTCCCAGTTTGCACTAAATTCACAAGGGGTGTGATATTTACTTCTCACACACCCTTCTAATTTTCAGCCGTCAGATCGAATGAATTGAAGAATATCAACAGACAAAAATGAATAAGGGTGTGTAAGAAGTAATTTGGAGTGTGTGGATAGCACACCCCAATTCACAATGCCCTAGCTTCTGAGCTTCCACTCACCAATTTAAACTAAACCCTAAACGCCAACTTGTGCTAAGAGAACTTAAAATTCAAATATTATAGAAAAAAAAAAGCTTAAATTTTGCGTACTATAAATTACTATGGTGAGATTATTAGTACGAATTAAAGACCCAACATTTTGTTTTCCTGTAGTTTCTTTCTTTTGTGATTTTCTCGGCAACCAAACAAAGGGAAGAAGGGATAGGGCAAAGATTGAGTTACCTTCTTTTTTGATTTTCTCGTTGAGGTTCTTAATGTATATAGTTTGGTTAGGCGGAATGTCCCCTGAAAGCATGGTCGCGCAGAGAGAGAGAGAGAGAGAGAGAGAGAGAGAGAGGGCGCAGAGCTTTGATTTGTGTGGGAGGGAGATGAGAGAGAAGCGAGAGACTGTGACGGATCGGATCTGAGCCCTAGATGATGTTCATGGCCGCCATTGGGCCATAAGATTTCTTTACACATTTGAGATTATTGGGCCTCCCAATTTTTTTCTTTTGGTCAAATATTGGGCCTTGCTCCTAATAAGCCGGTTCCTTACCTTTTTGTACAAACCGTCTTCGTAGCCCACATACAAACGCACTCGAAAACAATGTTTCAATGGAAGCATTGGTTTATACATTCTTCTGGTCTTCAACTCTAGGAATAATATTTTTCATTATGTTTTTGAGAACCCCTTAAAGTTAAACTAAAAAGGTGAAATGATTTGTCATTATCTCAATTGAAGTATATTGGGAGGATTCGTACTTCAACTAGTTCATGTAGGTCCAAATACAAGATTAGAATTCTAGCTTTTCCAAAATGATATCTCGTTGATGGAACACCCCTCACCTGGGGGCAGGTGGGAAGGGGGCCTTCTTCGCCTTCCACGTAGTTGCATAGGAAAGGCCCAAAGCCAACCCCAGGGAACAATAAAGCTTGATGAGGTCTTTTATGTCCAAGTGCATGTAGTTCGCATCTTCACGGACATGTCTATTTCACCAAGCTTCTATCTGAGACAATATCCAAATACTTTGTGATACATATATGATTCCATTTCATTTTATAAGGTTTTCAAGTCTCTCCTTGCACTTGGAGTGGACCATGCCTATAGTTTCCTTTTACACCTATCTATCATTCTATTTCATTTTATTTCGATTTTGTTCGCTGCAGCCTACATCACTTTCTAAATCATAATTTTGGGTCCGGCTACAATGTTAGTAAAGTTTTACCGTTACAAAATCTATTATTTCCTATATGCAAGACCCAAACCATCAATATTTAGTGAGCTAATCATTTATCGATTCCTACACGCCAAACTAGGCCTAATAATGAATGGATTGTTCAATCTCAACTTTGGACTGAATCATATTCAATCTAATATCCCTATAGTTTTATATATAAGGCTTCATTTGTCTCTGCATATTGATCATTGTAATATGCATTCTTCCAAAATAAAACTTGACAGCGGTCATCAGAACATGAGTTGCACTGAATGAAATATTCTTTGGATATGCCTACAAATGCTTCTATGTAACTAATACTAGTAAGGAAGAGACCAACTATTTAAACTAAATTTTGTAGATCATATGACGTGATTGTTAATGATTGGATTATTACTTAAAAATTGATTAACGCGCTTATCTCTATTAGTGATACATCACATAGTTTACAAATTTGATCTACCTAGCATTACTCTACCGGTAAATATTGTTATTTATCTTTTAGTGCAAATTTTTTTGTTAAAAACTTTTCACTTGCCGTGCATTGTTGCATCCATTTTTAAGGCCACCATGGTTTAATATTAGCCTTCTATGTCATTCAATACTACGGTCTGATGATATTTTTCTTCACTTATAAGGTAGAGGTTTTAGATTTGAATCTCGTAGTGTGTGGTTTATCTGAACTCCCTCCTCTCTTTAATGTAAAAATATATCGTTGTACTAAAAAAAAAAAAATATCAGCTTCTCTATGCTGATATGAAGTTAACTTGGGGCTAAAAGGCGACGTTTTTATATAAACCATAAATAATGTACAAGCTTAGCATGGTAGAGACTAGAGAGAGAGAGAGAGAGAGAGAGAGAGAGAGAGAGAGAGAGAGAGAGAGAGAGAGAGAGAGAGAGAGAGAGAGAGATTTTGACAGGAGTGCAATTTATATCTTGAAAAAATGGATTGCATAATTTAATTCAATACAAAATGGGGTATGAATGTGTTCAACTTATTTTTATCGATCCAATCAAATCTCGAATGCCAAATGAACCAAAATACAATCTGTGGTCAAATTTATTCAGTTTCCCGTATTGTACACGTGAGCTGCCAAACGCGGCTTCGCATACGCAAGAAGTGGCTTAGCGAGTAAGAGGTCGTTTTGTGACTCGGTGCGTTCAATGATCGACTCAGTAGGCGGCACGTGCCAACTGAACCCATGAAGAAGCCGAGCAAACAACATGACGGTCATGGCAGTGCCGAGTCTACTCGCAACGCAGCCCCGCATTCCCGTGCTGAACGAAATGAATTGCAACTCCGACTCGGTGAGCACCACCCCGGACCCGTAGTCCTTGAGGTGCCGCTCCGGCTTGAACTTGAGAGGCTCGTTCCAAACTTTACGGTTACGCTCAAGCCCAACTCGGCTGAGAATCACGTGGCTACCCTTGGGGATGAAGTAATCTCCGACGGTGGTGTCGGCCATGGACACGTGGGGCACATTGAACGGTGCCACCGGGTGGAGGCGGAAGGCTTCTCTGGCGCAGGCCTTTACGAAGTTGAGCTGCGACAAATCCGACTCTTGAACTTGTCTGTTCCTTCCGACCACAGCATCAAGTTCTTGTGTTGCTTTCTCAAAGAGTTCGGGTTGATTTATCATCTCTACAATTGCCCATTCAGCAGCATTTGAGGGATTGTCCACTGCTGCCATTATTAGTTCCTGCATCCACACAACAATTATATACGTCTTCATGGCTAGGAATGCAGGTGGCTAGGGAACCTTAATTAGTAGTTTTCAACCTATCCATCACCGGTTTTGCCCCCGTCTTCGACTTTCTTTATTTGAATTCTAGAGTAGTGGGAGAACAATAAATAAAAAAGTTTATATCAACCCGATAGCTTGAGAATGCAAGTGACTCTCTACCACAATGGTGAAGAGAAGTGTTGCTCTTACACCATGGCGTGGATTCGAACTCCGTTAGCTCTCTAAACTAACATTTAATCTAACAAATCTATCATTTGACAAAAAAATAAAATAGCATGAGAATATCTTAGGAAGAATATATAAGGAATGCGCATTTCTTAATCTTTAATCGGAACCACTCAATTTCTTAATGTTCATTTGAAGATCATCCTTACAAAAAAATCATTTAAATCATAGATTGTTTAGTCATTCAAATGTATAGAACAAACCGACATTGTAAGTACCAAGTGATAGGAGCATATTTAGGCGACTTACTTAGCTTGTTTTCGTGCATCTATGTTGGTAATTCATAGTTAGTTTAGTCCTTTATGCTTCTTTTGTGTGTTTTCAGGTTCTAAGGGCTTAGGGAGCAAGAAAGTGCATTTTGAGGCTATTTGGGGCACTTTTGGGCATGGATTGGATAGCTTAATCATGGAGCAAAGAGGATAGACGAAATTGAAGCCTTGTATGCTCTTTGGGGACATCAAACAAAGGGCCTAGCCCAATCAAACAAATCCTTTGAGCCATGGAAAACCTCTAGCCCAATCAAACATATTATGCCATGCAAACCAACCTATTTTAGGCCCATTCTATGTACTTTAACCCTAGCCCTTTAAACTAGTCCATTTATCACTTATCACTTCCATTCACTTATCACTCACCACATATCATTCATTTATCACCACATATCATTCATTTATCACTTATCAAACCTTTCACTTATCACTTCCATTCACTTATCACTTATCATTTCCATTCACTTATCACTCACCACATATCATTCATTTATCACTTATCATACTCATAATCATCTACACATTTCAAACATATGCATTTCATCTCACATGCACACCCACCTCTTTCCAAACTAATTCACATGCATACCTATTCTTTAAATCAACACATGCATTCACACACATGCACATCATTCACTCACATTTCCACCATTCATTCTTTATTCCACAAACAAGTCACATGCATTTCCACCTTCCTACTTCATCATTTCACCACATTCTCCCTCTTTAACTCATTTCATTATTCATTCACTTTGCATTCATTCAATTCCACCCCACATGCACCCTTTATTCTTCATCATTGCAACCATGGCACATTTACACCAACAAAACAACTCCCATGCCATGGCCTACTCATATTCCCATTTCCTTTCCAACATCTCACATGCATTTCCACCTTCCTACTTCATCATTTCACCACATTTTCCCTTTTATTTCCACATGCAATTCTTCATCATTGCAACCACAAACACCTTAAACAAATAGCCATATACATCTCCACTCCTCCTATAAATACCCTTGCATTCATTCATTCAAATATCATCTCATTCACAACACAACAACACACCACAAACACATTCCTTTCTCCCTTAGAATCCAAAAACCATCTTCCATTTCCACCAATCCTCATCCATTTCCATAATTCCCTAACACTTCCATCCCCCCAACCAACCTATCCTTAAACCTTGTGCTACAACAACGAGGAAGAGAAGAGTGCCTAAACGTTCATACAATTCAAGTTTTGAGTTGTTGGAATGTTTAGGTGTTTCTTTGATTTCAAAGTTTCATTTTAATTCTCTTTGTTTTGTACGTATGAGAAATGGAAGAAAAGAGTGCTTAAATGTTCATACAATTCAAAGTTTTGAGTTGTTGGAATGTTTAGGTGTTTCTTTGATTTCAAAGTTATGAGGAACTAAACCCCCTTTAGCTAGGGGGTGATTCGAAACTATGTTTATGTTTGTAATATGATTTGATTACTTTTAATTACGTTTCATAAGTTGTGAATTCAATTTGTTTAACTGTTTGATTGATAACCTATTTATGTATGTTTATTAAGAATGAACACTTAATTTTCATGCATGAATTTGACGCTAGAATATAAGTGAGTTTCACGTAATAGTTATGAACTTATATTCACAAGTAGTGGAGGTTGCTTATAAACAATCGTGTTAAACATATTCTTGGCATAAGTTTCATGCAATCATAGTAACGAATGCCTCGTCAACACTTATAGTTTTCATGATGCTTAATGATTCTTGCTTGTATCTCTATTATGCAATTCATGTAGGGAACTTGTGATGAATGCTTTGGATTGTCGTATGCAATCATCCAATTCATTAACTTAAGGAAAACTTGACGGTTAATTTAAGCGGACCTAATTAACCCGGGGCGTTGAGAATTCATGGTTTATTGAAAAGCAATTAGACATCGTTTTGTATGCAAGTATAACATATGTGGAGATGAACCCCTTAGCTAGCTTCCCATCCATTCATTTCCGTCAATTCCATATTTACAATTTGTTTTGTTTCCAAGTTTCCATTTTTAGTTTAAAGTCGTCCAAATCCAATCCCCCCTTATTTTGTTTAAGTTTTAGTCTTAATCTTTCTTACTTTTAGTTTTGCATTCTTTGAGTTTATTATAGTGTTTTAAACTTGTTTTTACGTTTTTGAAGTCAAATCCAAGTGGTTAACAATCCCTCCTAATCCCCGGTCCAGAACGATCCCTACTTACGTACTTACTACAATTGACAAAAAGAGGGTTTAATTTGTGTGCGTATAAATCTCGCATCACCAAGTAATATATTCATATGAATTATCCGTTTATTTGATACATTTGGATGACTAAATAATCTCCAATTAGAATAATTTTTTTAAAATAATTTTCAAATGAAGATTAAAAATATGAATGATTCGAATTATGAAGTTTATACGATGAAAATATGTTATTCGAAGGAGTGGGATATGTTCATTCCCTCATCAGAGGAGCTAGCACAAATATTATCCTTGTAGGCAAAGTCATTCAAATTTTTACCGTCTTTATATGTTAAAAACTTACCATAGTCAGCTGATGAGGATAATTAATAGCTATGATTCTCATTTGTCATTTTGTTTTACATGCCTATTTTAATTAATGTTATTTATGTAGAACAAATTGATTTTTATTTTTTTTAAGGTTTTATTGTTAAACAAAGGATATTATCTATACTAAGGGGTAAAAGAGTGGACTACATCTCACAATGAGCTAGCCATAACAATGTGGTCTGAAATCATCTTTGACGAAAATCGAGCACTTACAAATGAAGAGAAATACTACTAAAATACATACATAGGTAATATAGATATACGAGTCTTGATATCTATAAATAAAGTGTCAGTTGAACATATATGAATTACCTCTCCTCTCACTTCTCTCTATCTCTCACTTTCTCTGTTTCTCACTTATTCTTTGGGAGCCATGCATCTCTCTGTTGCATCAATTCAACATGTCTGAACTCAAAAAAGCTGGACTTTAACATGGCCTCAGCTATATATGTTGAGACGAGCAAACTTAATCGAAGTCTCTAAACGGCAGCAGGCCTTTCAAATTCTTAAACTCGTCTCCACATTTATGAAATGATAACTTACAATTTGGAACATTTCGGTGATTTTCTTGAACACTTTATGAGAGAAAGATAGGTTGAAAGGAGCATATATAATATCCTTTTTTATGGCAATGATAGAAGGAGCATAATATCCTTTAAAAAAATGCACACGTGACTAATTTTAACACAAAGAGGAATATGCCACATTACTACATGGAGAATAGTCTATGTGACACATTTGAAAAAGAAAAACTGAGCGGTAAATTTGCACACCCCTATAAGTACTTTGGTGGGTAATTGTGCAAACTCGCTCATTACATATATACTGAACATTATTTAGTTTAATACAAGATGTTATAAGATTTCTTCCACTTATTTAAGCCTAATCAAATCATGCATGCCGAATTTAGGAAAAAAAAATATATCTTGCAGCCGAAGAAGACAGATTCTCCTGACCCGATTCAACTCATTTTGTTTGGTAAACATGAGCAGGCAAACGTGGCTTTGCGTATGCAAGCAGTGGCTTCGCGAGTAAGAGATCGTTATTTGACTCGGTGAGTTCGATCCTCGACTCAGTTGGCGGCACGTGCCATGTAAACCCATGAAGAAGCCTAGCAAACAGCATGACGGTCATGGCAGTGCCGAGTTTACTCGCTACGCAGCCTCGCATCCCCGTGCTGAACGAAATGAACCGCAGCTCCGATTCGGTGAGCACCACCCCGGACCCGTCGTCCTTGAGGTGCCGCTCGGGCTTGAACTGGAAGGGCTCGTCTCAAACTTTAGGGTTACGGCCAAGTCCGACTCGGCTGTGAATCACGTGGCTACCCTTGGGGATGAAGTAATCTCCGACGGTGGTGTCGGCCATGGATACGTGGGGCACATTGAACGGTGCCACTGGGTGGAGGCGGAAGGCTTCTCTGGCGCAGGCCTTTACGAAGTTGAGCTGCGACAAATCCGACTCTTGAACTTGTCTGTTCCTTCCGACCACAGCATCAAGTTCTTGAGTTGCTTTCTCAAAGAGTTCGGGTTGATTTATCATCTCTGCAATTGCCCATTCAGTAGCATTTGAGGGATTATCCACTGCTGCCATTATTAGTTCCTATATCCACACAACAAATATACACGTTAATTTCTTGATCAATTAGTATATAATGCAGTTGCTCTCAGTCACTAGCACGATCAAAATGTATGACAATATGAGGAGATGATTTCAGATTTGGATCCCATCCGGATTTAAATTGTGGGAATCTTTGAGATATTCACATCTTAATCATTTATCATACATTGTGCGGTTAGAAATCATTTGATTTTTTTTATTTAAAATTAAACACAAATATTACCTGATGAAAATTAATCGCACAATATACGATGAACGATTAAGATGTGAAAATCCTTAAGATCTCCACAAAATGAATCAAGAGAGGATACTTTTCCGATGATCTTGTTGTAAAACCGGGATCCTTAGAATATTTGGATATCTTTGAAAAAGGAAATTGTACAAACTACTGATGCGACTTATTGGTACTAGCTCTAAAATATTGGTACGAAATTGCCCAAAATGTCACGTGACTCGGTTTATTCATAAATAAATTTTTGAAGAACGGGAAGAATGATTTGCATGTCCAAATAAAATTGCTCAAAACCCTAATTTTTTTGCTCTTCTTACAGTTGTCAATAGTATCGAGATTCCTTCGCATCAACTCTTAATATATATGTAAACCAATAAAATTATTTGAACACGCAAAAATAAAATACTTGTTAATACATTATTAATTGTGATGATCCTGCTATTAATAATATGTGAATTTTACTTTACTGAAAATGTATTAATTTTGTATGTCTCAATAACACCTTACTTTTGCATTTGTACATGATATATACCTAAGTCACATGTAAAAACACAGAGAGAGACTTACATTTACTTGAGCTTTGATTTCTTCTAATGAAAGCAAGGGTTCACCATTCTTGTCTTTCAGAGAAATAAGAATGTCAAGCAAGTCTTGTAATTCCTTGTTACCGCCAAGTTTCTGATATTGACGAAACCTCTCTTCAATTAATGGGTCTTGGTGTTTCCTTGTATTTTTTATGGCATCCTTGATAATCTTCTCATGGCCATCCAAATCAAGCCCTCTCAAGCATGGGATGTAATCGGATGGAGAAAGTGAATAGATGTAGTTAAGCATTGTAAATACATTTTCTAAATACTTTTGTTCCTCCAAACCAGGCCCACCAACCTCCATTTCCTCCCCAAAGTACCTCTTGTTGAGAACCACTTTCTTAATCACATTTGCACAATAATGTTGAGTGGCAAGTCTCAAATTTACAATGCCACCACCTTCATTGTTATTGCACTGGTTGTACACATACTTGACGATGTGATCGGCCTCTTCAACCCTACTTGTGCCTCATTGGAGAAAGCAATTCACTTGTGATCACCTTCCTCATTTTCTTCCATTGTTCTCCAAAGGGCACCATAACCGCAGTTTTGTACCCCTTGGTGATACGAAAAGTGGAAATGTTAACCGGACGCAACGCGAAGATTGTATCTTGCTTGTTTAAGATTTCGCGTGCTTTCACTCAAATCATCTGACCTAAATATTTATATTGAACTGAATATTTGCAATTTTTCCTTTTGATACATCAGAAGATTTGAATTTAAGATTTCAGACAACACTATGAACCAATTGAGCTATAAAATTTAAATAAACTATTACAAAGAAAACACTAGTAAGACATATTTTAAGGAGAGCCGCTTTGTCAGCATAAGATACACTTTTGTATTGGTTTCTTAAATAAAAAAAGTTATACATGTGGGATGCCAATCATCTACATCTTATAAAATAACTAAATATAATAAAAGTTTAAAAGTTTAAAGTTAAGAATTAAAAAAGTTAACATAATTGAGCTCTTTTGTGTTTTTTTTTTTTTTTTTTACTTTCGGTGGACACTTTCTTTCACGCAACCTTTTATCTTGATCCTAACCTTTTGCTATTTTTTTTTTCTGACTAATCCTATTGCTATTTTGTTCGTAACTTGTAATTAACACGGCAATGATTTCCAGTAACACATGTTTAAATAGGTTTTATAGACTCTTCCAGTATATTATTGTATTATACTAAGACTCTTTATATATTTTACGAGAAAAAATCAATTATATACGTTGAATATTTTTCCTTTTTAATACAATATAAAAAGGGTATGATTGGTATGATAATTTGTTGCACGTTCTGTCCCATCTTCTTCGTTCTCCTCCGTCTCCTAGCTGCAGATATATGGATATGCCAAGTGCCCGGCTGCAGTTCCTGCCTTGTAAAATAATATCCAACTACCTTGCCATATTTCAGAAATTGAACAAAACTGATTTTTCATGTTCAGAAACTGCTGCAACGTGTTGTTCGTGCATCGCCAGCATGCTTTTATACATGTTATGCATACAACTACGTGCTGCAAAAATATGCTTCCCATATGTTTCACATTTTTCCTCTTCTGCTCCCCATATCTTTGCTTTGCTTTTCGGTCGGTTCCCATATGTTTCATGGGTACGGATGTGATTAAATATTGTTCACTGCTACGAAAATGAGCAGGAACTGCACATTGCTTAATTGGATATAACTAAAAATATACATGCAGCTCCCATATGTTTCTTTCCTTTATGTGGTGTGGAATTAAACTGGTAAGTACATTCATCGTGCCCTAAGAAACAATTATCTGGGAGAGCTGATTTAATTTATGGCGAACCGAAAAGAGAAAAACGAAAATCATTTTCTTCAAAATCATGATAACAAATCCACTCATTCACATTATTGTGGCTCGTGAAACATATGGGAGAATGAAATGATGAACTAAATATATACTAGGTTCATTGACTCACCATTCATCAAATTTAATATAACTGTTTTTGAATCAAGTATAACTTATTATATTCTACTCCGCGCCCTCAAGCAACTCCTAAGTCAGTGTAAACCAGAGAAGAAGGCCAATGCATGTCATACAGATTGTCCACACAACTTATGCAATAATTAAATCAAGATTCACATATATAGGTAGTCGTCCTATTAATGTAACCAAACCCCACTAGACCAATGTTGCCAAACAATCTAACCGCTTGGATTCACTTCAACAGCACACATTGTCTAGCTCAAGTATTAATTAAAGCTTCACAGATACACCCACAATGTGTCAAAACTGACCAAATTTACTGACAGTAGTAGAAGGGAATATGTTAATTTTACTGACTGGTTTAGAAACTTCAACTAATAATCTGATTAGAATGGTTAGTACCACAGACGGTTTGCAAAATTTATGATAGCAATAACTCCACTGATATTCCCTCCTTTTTTTCCTTACTATATATCTTTAAATTTTCCCAGATTCAAGTAGCGAAGAATCATATATAATGCAGCCCGAGACACACGAGGCCAATAATCATAGCGTACCCGTGACACTATAATGGCCCATATGAAAGTCATGCAACGCTCAAATTCTACTGGTATATGCATGTTCGTATACAAGTTGAAAATGGTTCTTTTATATTATTTATCTTTCTCTTAATCCTCCACATACTTATTTGTGCGTAGTAAAGTTTTGAAAAAGTTAAGGTTACAGCATAAAACCAATTGGCAATATAATAAATAGTCCAACTTATTTATAAGCCCATACAAGGTCATTCCTCCTATTAATGTGAGCTTCATTCTTAACACGCCCCTCACATATGTCGAATTTTAAGCATAACACGTGAACAACATAACGGGGTGACGTAGAGCCCATGTAGCCGTTTGACTTCACACGTGGGACAATTTGTTTTAATACTATGAATAAGTTGAGATTCTACTATAAAATCAATTGGCAATATAGAAAATAACCGAACTTACTTATAAGTCCATATAAAGCCTATCTTCCTATTAATGTGAGATTTATTTTTAACAAGTTTGAGTCAACTAAATATTGAGAGTTTTTTTTTTTCTTTTCTTTTCTTTTCTAAGAGTAAGTTGTCAAATTATAGAGACTAGAAATCGTCACCCTACTGTACTAAGGGGCAACGACGGTTTTAAAACAATAAATTACCCTACATCAGCCAATTGATACACATTTTTTTTGGGGTACTTTTGGTTCCGGTCTCTTGACATTTTAGGATAGTTTTTTTTTTTGGGTCAAATGATAGATTTTGTTAGATTAGTCATGAATGAGGTTCGACGTAGTCATGCAATGACTCAACACATTTCCACCACTTTGGTAATAGGTCACTTGTTTTAGGGTAATATTTTTATAGGGTCCTTTCGGTATCAAATTATTAAAAGAAAACATTGGACAAAGACAAATTCGAGGACAGTATATCCATGGGCTTGTAAAATTCCCACTGCATAATTTCCAGCAGTCTTTTAACTTATTTTCATTGCACTTTTTTTTTTTTTTTTGAACAAACGATATTATTTATACCAAGAGAGGTAGAGAGTGGGTTAAGCCTTACAATGAGCTAGTAATAATATGGTTCGAAATCGTCTTTGGCAAAAATCGAACCTAAGACCTCTCACTTAAAAGTGAAGAGAAATACTATTAGACTGTAGTACTAAATAACTATTTTCATTGAACTTTGAAAACACTATATAATGGAAATTACTAACACGACTAAATGACATCTGATAAAATGTGTCCGTATGTGACTCGTGATATCTTTCTCTACTTAAGAACGGGGATGCTTCAGATCGGATTTCAAAATACATATTATTGATCTCACATGTCCAAGCATTCACTTCGTTAAAGCTAATCACAATCATCGATCGTTTCACATCACTAGCTTACATGTGGTGCGGCTCTTCAAACCTCTCTGTCTCTACACAATCAATGTAGCGCTCACCGCAATTTGCTGCTGGCATGCAGTAAAGTCATTAGCTGGGTTGATAATTTTTATTTATATAGTTAATCTTAGTGTGTGTGTGTGTGATGATATATAGGGTTGTATCTCCTCTCTCACAATTTAGCAAATGCAGGAGAATTATACACTCTTCACTTCTCTATGTTTTTTCTAGTCCAATAGCTCGGTCTATGATCACGTACTATATATATTTATATCATTCTCTTAGGGTTTTCTATATCTGAGTCATTTCATGAGATACATGCAAATCCATGCATATATGATGTTCAGAAATATCATGATTGATACGGAGTCGATGATCTACTATTGTGCAGAAATGTGTTAGTAGTAATCAAATGGTTTCATATAGAAACAGATACTAAACAAAAAAGTTTATTTGTGACTTTCTGAAGCTAAAGCAGGAAAGGATATTTTGTTTGCAGATGAACTCAGTCGCTGTACAACAATATTGCTACGTCAAATTTTATGCAACTGTCATAAATTTTTCTTCTGATGGTAATCTTATCGGGGTCCTTTCTTCTCCTATTTTCTTCCTTTAATTAGATCCTTAGGAATATCAGATGCCTGCATTGAAAAAAATTGCTTGCGGAAGTGCTTGTTATCCAGGATTTCAAATCGAAGTTTGCAGATGTAAGAGGTTGTGAAACAACCGGGAAAGAGGGGCTGGTTCTGAAGGTGAAGACTTTACTTTTTTCCACCACCATCATCAAATTCTTTATTCATATCATTTTCAGTGTTAGGTAACGATACTTGAAATTCGAGGATGCCTTGTGTCTCAACATTGGTGTTTTTCAGCCATTAGTAGCTAGGGCATGTCGGCAACTAGAAGTTCTGGGCTACTTTTGGAATCCATATTATGCGAGGAAAGACGTTGCATTTGCTTATAAAAATGAAGGGTGATAAAAATGGGACTATTTCCAGCATTTCATAGTCAGCACATTTGTCCTGCTCCGTATCAAAATCAGTGCCACCACTACATGGAAGAATTGAAATCTTATATCAAAACATTATGAATGAATGGTATGAAATACCTAAAATACAAGAATTCTTGAATAATGAATGACGAGAGCTATTACTCACTACATCCAAAAAGTTTCCTTTAATGAAAGACGTCAGTATTTGAGGCCGTAAATACCAGGGTTTCGGTTCTTGTTGTTGCTATTGTTCAGTTACAGATAAGCTATCTCTTGCCAGTACTTAACGAAATGGCCTTGTGCTGCTGCCTTATTGGCATGTGAAGGGGTGACAAAGTCAAGCTTCACACATTCTTGAAACCATTACTTCCGAAATATATTGTTGAGTGCATGGAAGCCCGTGATAGTGTGTTTCACTGGAGGGACAAAGCATTCCAGGTATTTTAATTATTTCTGTTCTAATATTGTAGCTCAATCCTGTTAAGCTATAATACTTTAGTAATTATATATGAGGTCCATAAATTTCATCGACTGCCCTCATTTATATTCCCCCCACCATGTCCTTTTTCTTTCCTTTAAGTACATAAGAACAATGGAAGCCAAAATAACACCAGTCATGATTCCAGAAATTGTTCCACTAACCCTCATATCAAATTCCGACTTTCCTCGTTATAAGTGAAGAAGAAGCAAAAGATGATGACGAAGTTGAACTTGAGAATTCTCTAGAAGATGAAGAACAAGCTTTGTCTCAAAGAATCTATTTGAAAGAACAGATTTATGAGGAATATAATCAAGCCAACTAGGTGCAGTGACTATATTGTTGTGCTAGGATAGCACCAAACTATATAGAACCAACTCAAACTAGCCCACAGGAAATTTATCAAATGAAAATGCAAGAACAAAATATAAAAGACACAAAGATTTTAACGAGGTTCCTCCACAGTCAGTGTAACTGGAGTACGTCCTCGGAGCAGTAGGAGCTCACCCAATAATCCACTATCAACCAAATGGGAGTTTACAAAGTGTTGGCAATCTCACAGCCCAAATAACCCAATACACCCAAAAACTCTCACACACCAAAGAAACAAATAGAGGAAGAAATATAATGAATAATTTCTTCTCTATACATATAGCTCAAAGCTATTACAACAACAACTACTTTGGTAGATGATTACTAACCGAATGAAGCAGCAGCTTCTCTTCTCTCTTTGCAGCTCCTCTTTCTCAGCAGAGCATTGAGCCTTTTTTTCTTCTTTATATTCGGCTACAAAGGCAAAACCTTTTCCTTTCTTAAACCAACACCCACGGGTGTTGAAGAGAACAAAAATTCTTTTCCTTTTTTTCCTCCCCAAAACAAGGAAAGGTGTTGTCCACCTTCTTTCTTTATAATTTTTTATAGCCAAAAGTTGTTTGGATTTTTGTCTAGCCGAAAGCATTTGCAAGTTGGCCACTATCCAACAATCTCCACCTTGGCCAAATTCCGAAAAACGTCATGACAAGCCAATCAACACAATTGATACACAACATCACTCCTAAACACTAGCAAGAGAACAACTCATGCCGAGCCAATTGCTCCAAAACTCCTACTGCTCATCGCCTTCTTTATATAGGCAAAATGTGAGCCAAGTTCAAGCAATGAATAAACTTGGCTACACCAACAACCTTAGTCAACATATCAGCGGGGTTGTCTTTAGTTGGAATCTTCTGGAGAATGATTTCTCCTTCACCAACAACTTCACGAACAAAGTGAT